AAAGTTGTTCTTAGTTATTATAGTTTTGTAATAACAGTATAGTAGAAAACACAAAAAAAATAGTTGTACTTAGTTATTATAGTTTTGTAATAACCGTATAGTAGAAAACAAAAGAATAGTTGTATTTAGTTAACATCACTTTCTATGTTTAAGTGGGAGTGTTAAGTCATAAACATATTGCGTAATAGAACATGACGTAAGTGGACACCGCAGAAATTGGTGTTTAATAAAAGACGTTTCAACCCGAATATCTAATCGCTGGTTCACAATTGTGCATTTCTGTATCGCCCTATCAAAGAGAAACCTTTTGAATATCTTAAAAAAGTTCAATTTTTCTTCTGAATACGCATTCTGCAATCTTTTGACAGCTCATCATACACATCTGACCGCTGTGAAATGGCCATTTTGAGGCTTAAAGTATACACAAGGTTATTAATTCAGACGATTCGTTTTTACAGTGAGCAAGCTTCAAATCTTTTGTGCAAGACATATTTTCTTGAATATTTATAAATCTTTTTCCTCACCAAGTTTGAAGTCTAAGTATCGAGAATTGCGGCTAAGCCTATACCAATTTCCGCGGTGTCACGTAAGTGTCATGTGATCATCTCCCACATGTTGTTGTTCTCGTTCCAACGCAAAAGATGTTATAATAAATGTTTGGGATATCAATCCGACTTATATAGTTTATCCATCGTCATGACTAATATGCTAACATAAATGACCCATGCCCATGTGCAACCTTATGGGCTTTGTCCACGTGATTCGTGATTTTTGTTAACGTGAACCTATTATGTCGGCACTTTCATGTCTATACAGGGGGGTTATCTACTAGTGAGAGCGAAGAAGAAGTCGCTAAACGGGCTTAAGAATACGAAGACGAGCTTGCTAAAGCGGACGAAAATGTACGAAAATTGGCTCCCCAATCAATGAAATTGATCGCCGCGAACAAAACGAGAAAGCAGTGCAAGATCACAAGATAAACCTGGAATTTAATCGAGAATTACTCGAGCAGAAGGCGGAATTTGAGAAAGAACGCGAGAAGGGAAAAGCACACGAAGCAGAAACCAAGGAACAGTGTAAATTAACGTCCGCCGCTAAATTGCCGAAATTGCCTATGACAAAATTTAACGGAAAGTTCGAATCATGGCTAACGTTTTGGGGAAAATTTATATCGGAGATCGACTCAACGAAAATACCAACATTGAGAAAGTTTTCCTATTTGAAAGAATTATTTGAAGAGTCTGTAGGCTACGTTCTGATATCGATGGCCTGCGATTTACCGTAGGAGGTGATTCGAAAGCCAAAAACATTCTCGAGTCAGCCGAAGTTGTGAATGCTTATATAGTTAATATCACCAAACTACCAGTGATTTCGGGGAGAAAACCAGCTAAAATACACGATTTCTATAAGCTATAACGTATAATATATAACGTTCGAAATCTTGACACTCTTGGCAAACTAGACGATGTGAGAGGAAATGTGCGAGCAACTTTGGACAAATTAAAGGGAATGAAAGCAGACCTAGTTCGCGGAAACGGCAGCTGGCAAGAGTGGGACTTTCATGATCTTCTAAACGAGATAAAAAATTGGAAGGATATCAACCCAATCGAGGAAAAATCGGAGCCAAGAGAACAACTAAAGGATGTGAAAATCGATCCCAAGATCGACGTTCTTCCATACAAAAGATTCTCCATGCGACACGCGAGAACGAGGGCGTGTGTATTGCGATGATACCACGCATAAAGCCACGAATTGCTCTAAAGTTGTGAAGAGAGAATAAAGGAAAAAGATACTAGCGGAAAAGAGACTATGCTTCAATTGTACAGGAAGTCAACATCGTCTTACCAATTGTAAAAGCAAGCTCGGATGCCAGAATTGTAACAAGAAACATCATACCTCATGAACAATCGGAAAAACAATTGTTAGTTGCAGGCAATGACGCGAACACACGAGTGACGCACCCGGTCGTGACAGTCGAAGTTGAAGGTGTTAAGTGTAGTGCCTTACTTCACACAGGCGGTAGTTCCTACGCATCCGCTGCACTTTTGGATCGTATTTCAACGCGCATGTCGAAGAAAGAAATTCTCTGGGGCAATAGAATTACTGACACAATTACATACTGGGTATTTATAAATATATAAATAATATATGATGTACAAATTCTCTGACGACATATATACAAGACACATCTATTCTGTTGCCTCATGGCTGATGCACAAACAACGACAAAAACAGGAAATTGTTGAAAACGGGAAATTAACGATATTTCGAATACTACAACGATGATGAGTGTAGAACACGATACCGGTTTGGAAAAGATGCCATTACATATATTGTAAATCTTGTTCACAACAAAATTCATCCTCCGATGAATCATAGCTATGCCTTTTCTGCAAGGAAACAAGTCTTGATTACACTTAGATTTTTAGTGATTGGAAGTTTTCTTCAAGTCATCGGCGACACCGTTGTAGCCTTACATAAGTCCACAATTAGTCGAGTCATACGTAGGGTCTGTATAGCTTTGGCTCGAAAGCTGGATCAATTCGTAAAGTTTCCGAAAACGAGAGAAGAAAAGGATGAAATCAAGCGAGGATTTTACGAACTAGCTGGTTTCCCATGTTTTCTGGGTTGTGTAGACGGCTCACACATTCGCATTATCTCACCGCCGGAAAACGAACAAACTATATCAACAGGAAAGGTTATCACAGCATAGACGTCCAAAGAATCTGTGATCACAAGGGTATAATATTATTATTATTCATATTATTATTAATACATTCATATATTAAGATGTTCGAATTCGTTAGCCATTTAAAAAATATAAATAAATACCTTGTACTAACAAACACAGCGTACAATATTTTGTTGCCCAAGTTGTTGACTGTTGTCAACATGTTGACATCAACACTGCAACAGCCTGCTTTGCCGTTATACCTTATACGTGTTGATGTAGTGTTTTATTACAAGTAGATGATGTTATATAAGTTCATATAACGCTTGTGTTCATATAACTTTGACGATCTTTTCTAATGTATTTTGTCTTCATTAATATCACAACGCTGCTTGCAAGAACATTTCAGAAGTTTCTTAAAAATTTTCAGGACTTGTGAAAAATAACTCAAAAAATCAGAAATTAAAAGCAATGAGAGTACAATGAAATAAGCTCATGTTCCAAGACGCACGGATCAGTAAGACGTAACCATTAACCATTACCTAAAGTCAAGCGGCGCAAATCCCTTGTTGCCTGGCATGTTGCCCGGAAAATATTGTGTCTGCCCGTGTTTTACCATTTTTTCCGCTTTTCACTCTCTTTTTCCGCGTTTAACATCGTTCTCCGCGTTTTACTATTTCTTTTCGCCTTTTAACCTTTTCTCCGCGTTTACTCTTTTTTCGCGTTTTACCCCTTTTCCCGCTTCCGCCATTTCGCTCCCGCGTTTTACCTTTACCCTGGGATCGGATGAAAGTAATGTTAAAATGGTGAAAATATCTGATTACAACATCTCAGGATGGAAGGACATTGTCTTGCCTTTTCTACATGTAGAATAACTAAAGAATTTGGGAAATGTATAACCTGTACCAAGAATTATCCAAGTGTAAGAAAGAAATTTAGTAAAAGACGATCTCTTTACTATGCAAATGGACAAGCGACTTACAATAATGAGGTATTACAACTCTCTGGCGATGTTCATCCTAACCCTGGTCCAGTTAGTAAAGTGATCCCGAAACCAGCCAATCCGAAGTATAACTCTCCTAAGGAAAGCAGTACATCAACAATAATTTCGACCCGAAGAACAAGGATTTCTACAAATTTCCGACGACAAGCATGTCCGATGAATCTAATTTATGTACGACCAGACCTGATGGTAGGAAATGCACGAACTTCATTCAGGTCAATGAATTAGTATCCGACAATGATTGGGACATATTCACAGCGAGTGAAACTTGGCTAAACTCAACGGTGAGTAATACGGAAGTAAACATAGTAGGTTACAAACTATTTAGAGGAGATCGTCGTTACAAACGTGGTGGTGGAGTATGTGCCTACGTATGTTCACTTGTTGGTAACTGACTACATCCTCAAAGCGATCGACGAAAAGAAAGTCACTGTTCTTGTTTTGCTTGATCTGAGCAAAGCATTTGACAGCATCCATCACAATTGCCTCCTCTACAAGTTGCAGAACTGTGGAGTCTTGTCAAATACACTAGAATGGTTTCGGAGCTATCTTACTGGACGAATGCAAGCAGTTCAAATTGGCGCTGAAATATCGGACTTACTTCCCATAACGAATGGAGTTCCGCAAGGTAGTATATTGGGTCCCTTACTGTTCAATCTGTTCATTAATGATCTTCCTTGTATCCCGCTAAATAGTAAACTGGAAAGTTATGTAGATTACACCAAGCTGTTTTTATCATTCTGCATTGGAAACTTAGAAAATGTAGTAACAACAGTAAATAATGATCTTTTCAAGGTCGCTACTTATTTAAGTAACAACAGCCTTCTTGCTAACCTGAAGTCAAAACTTACTGTCGGAAGTCTAAGCGTGTGCTTTAACATATTTATTGTCTAACACATAAACTTTAATGCCACAACTTTTTGGGACAATGAAACAACTGTAAAATATTTAAATATGAGAATTTTTGAACATAAAACAGCCATAACGTAACAATCTTTTAAGATACTGATCTCAAAACTTTGTATGGATTCATTTTGTACCTATTTCTACCAATCGTGTAAATATGAGCAAAATTGGAAGTTTAGGGTTACATTTCGCCAAAAAAATCTGATGATTTGAGATAGAATTACCCCTAAATTAAAACAAGCAAGAGAAAAAATCTTGCTTGTCCATGCAAGTTTGCTAACTTTTTAAACTGTTGTGGTTTGATTTTTTAATATCCTTTCATGACACATTTTGTTACAGCAAGTTTCTTCAAGCGTTAGTTAAGATGCAAACATAAATTGGATTAATTTGTTAGAATTTATTGGGATCAATAAAACTTACCTCCTGAGGATAGTCCATACTCCTGCCACAAAGATTCAAAAGCCAAGCAGACAATGAAGTAAAGGCAAAAAACTGTTCTCCAGAGTTTGTTGCCAATGCAAAAAAATGTCTAAAGGGATAACAAAAGTTTTTTTTCTTTCAGGGGACCTGGGTCAATTGCTGGGTCAAATTCTCTTTGATACAAAATTTAAAAATTATTTTTGATCATGGGGGCATTAATACTATGATTCCATGACCTTATAAGTAGTCATTGGAAACAAAATTAATTTCTGTCAAATATGTAAGTATAGATATTAAAGATTAATCAAGCTAGGTAAATTGATCACTTTTGATCACCTGAAATAATTTTCCGGAAAATTTTCTGGGTTCCAATACTTTTTCCACCTTGTGTTAATTAAGGTGCCGTGATACAATTTTCATAATTTCAGGTGCTCAAAACTTTAAATTGTTCAAACTATCTATTTTTTTTAATTTGTTACTCTACTTAATTTGTAACTCTACTTTAAATAATTAACCAACAGTCTGACCATATATGGTTAACATACACATACCAAATTCACCTCAAAATCATCTATTGGCTTGTATTGCAACTTCAAATTTTTTTGTGTGATTTTTTGAAAATCCAAAAATGCACTTTTATTTATTACAAAAATCACTATACTATCAACACTCCCGCTATGAATTTCAAACAGGAGAAGGCTTTTGATCATGCATTTCAATTTCAAATTTGATTAACTCTTAATCTCAGACTAAAATTTGATTAATATGTGATTAAATACATTCATTGTTTCTGAAATTTGAATTAACTAATGTCTTCTTCTGTTTGAAATTCATAGAAAAGCAGTGCTGACAGTTTATTGATTTTCAGAATGGTAAATTATTTTTCATACCACAAATTTTTAAATTTTTAAATATGATGTGATATTTTACCAGGTGATCATACAAATTGAGGAAATACATGGTAGATATCAAAAATAATGTCAGATGGCACAAGTAACTGCATGCTAATGTCAGCAATTTTAGTTTTCCTGTGAGGGAAGTGGTTGTCGGTCGTTTTGAGTTTTTCTCGAGCAGATTTTTTGTAATACTTTTTGAGCAGATTTTTGTGAAGGGGTCAAAAATGGAATAAGTAAGTAGATCATCAAACATAAACTGGCTATTTAAGGCTCTTCCATTAATTGCATCAAACAACATGTTTCTATGTATTATAGCTGGAGTTTTTTGTGTTCATCAACACTTTATTTAATTGGTGTTTCTGGATGTAAAAGTAAACAGGAAGGGTACAATAATTTATGGCACAACCATTATATAGATCAATATTGAGGTAAATTGTATTAATGACTGTTCACACAATCCGATTTTGTTGGATCCAATTCACTTCTGCAGTACTGCATTAAAATTTGCTGATCATATTTAAAACTAATAAATAAAAACATTCGATCATCAGAAGTGAATTAGATCCAACAAAATTGGATCGTGTCAGCAGATCTTAGAGCAGATCGTGTCAGCAGATCAATAAATTGAGTGTAGTGTAAACAGGATTTTAATCTATAGAATCTACACTTATATAGCTATGCTTGCGCCGACATGGCAGGTGGCATGTTTTCTTGTGTGCATCTGGTCTAGTTATATTTCTAACCATTTGCCTTATTCTAGATTTCAATTGTCTTTATAAAGATAGTAGTTCCTTATCGGTTATGCTGGGTTTAAAGTCCGATCTTAAATAATTCTCAAGTCGTGGGGAAATCGCTGGTTCGAGTCGAAAATATTTTTTAGTAAATGATTTAGTAAATGTTCAAAAGTGGTTCACAGACAATCTATTAACTTTGAATGAGAAGAAATCGAAATTCATGCTAATTGGTGGTCATCAACGACTTAAATCCTGCTCTAGTGTCTCCATCGGTATTAATGGAACAGTGTTGGAACGGGATCGAGATACATTCAGATATCTTGGAATTACAATCAACTAAAATATGACTTGGAGTGATCATGTCGAATCTCTGGTGTCAAGGGCAAGCCAGCGTATTGGCTTTTTGCGACATGTCAAGCATTTATTACCACACCATGCAAGTATCACCCTATACAACGCCCTTATATTACCTATTTTGGACTACTCGGATATTGTCTGGGGTGATAGAGATAACATCACGTTAATGAACATGCTACAAATAGTTAAGAATAAAGCAGCCAAGACTTTACTTGACCTGCCACCGTATGCATTGTCGACCGAGGCCCTAAGTACTTTGGAATTAAAGCCGCTTAGAGAAAGAAGATTCTACCATCGTTGTCTATTAATTAGTACACAAGATAAAGAATGATCAAATCGATTATCAATTTGATTTTGTACTAAACAGTGACATCCATCAGCACAACACAAGAAGAAAAAATTATTATCGCCTTAAGAGAGTAAAAACTAATTGGGCTAAACAAACATTAAATTATTTATCCCTCAATGACTTTAACACTCTACCATCTGCTGTTATAAGGATACTATAAACTCTTTAAATACTTTTAAATCGCATTTTAAGTAGCTACCTTATGTAGCTACTTTGGCAATATAGAACAATAATTTTTAAGCATATTTTATAGGTAATTTTTTGCTATTTTATATTGTAAGATATCTATTCAAATATTTTATTGTATTGTAAGTGTATTTTATGCAGGGCCTCATTGAAAAACGTCTGAGATATGGGCACCCTGATTAAATATCATCATCAATCTTTACAGTAATATAAATTTTTTAACTGAATATGTACTCAATACCGTGAAAGATATCTGAATCCCATTTTCCTGCAAAAATCAGTCTCATAATTTATCAACTTCAATTTGTCCAGCATTTCCTCCATAACGGCAACAGTTGACATATAAGCTGAATATCCGTCCACCGCAACATCCCCTCCTCGCCGCGATTCATCCATTATAGCCGAAATTACACGTAAATAAAATTAAATCTTTACGATTATTTTATGTTCTTCGCCTCAAAAGAAATATGTTTAAGACATTCCCTTGGTTACGCCATTAATTTTGTTTATATTTTTAAATATTATTAGTTGTTGACACCCGATATGAGCACGCGATCATCTACGAGCGGTTCACTCGAGAGTAACCGCGAAATACTTGATATTAGATACAAACCAGTGAGTATAAACACAGTGGTGATAAAAACGAGTTTATTACTCCCGGCGTCTCTGCTCCGGCGTGAGCGACGGAGTTAAAATTCGCCTTGGGTTTGTTTTGTTTTGTTTTTTACTTTTCGTCGTCGCAAGTGTGTTTTGACGCGAAATATACTAGTATTTGAAATGTGTATGTAATCGTATTTATCTACGTCACAGTTTTGTCTCCCAAGAGTTGTGGTGCACAGTGTTCCTTAGAACTCGCAAATTATCCCATACGAAGCATAGCATTGAAGAAATAAATCGTTCAGAAGCGTTGTGGATCAAGAACTCACAAAATTTCGTTCGCGAAGACAAGAGATACGGACAGTTACGAAACTCGTTGGGTCTAGTCGAAGATGAAAGTGGAATACTGAGGTGTCACTGAAGAATGGGTAACGCTCCCTGTCCATACGAAACGAACTTCCCAGCTCTTCTCGCGAAGTTAGATCCATTCACCAAATTGGTTATTTGGGATAGTCATTAAAGGTTATTCACAATGGAGCAAGGGACACCCTGACAGAAATTCGTGCACGGTTCTGGATTACACAAGGCCGTCAAGTCGTCAATAAAGTAATCTCCAAGTGTGTTACGTGTAAACGAATCGAAGGTCAACGTTACAACAGTGCTGTGCCACCGGATTTACTTGAGTTCCGAGTCTCGGATGAGAGGGCGTACAGTCGAGTTGGAGTGGATTTCGCAGGCCCAGAATATGTTCGAGATATCTACTCGAAGAGTTTGAATAAAGCATATATAGCGCTGTATACGTGCGCTTCTACTCGCGCACTCCATTTAGAACTGGTTCCTGAGTTATCAACGGCCGTATTCCTGAATTGTTTTAAAAGATTTATTGGTAGAAGAGGAGTACCAAAGCTTGTTGTTTCTGATAATGCAAAAACGTTCAAGAGTTCAAACTTGAAGGCGTTTCTTTCCCGATACAATATTTCTTGAAATTTGAAAGAAAACTCATGGAAATTCGAAGATAACCTATGAAGAATTCCAGACAATTCATGTTAAGATTGAAAGGATTCTAAGTTCCCGTCCTTTGACGTACGTATCGGAAGAATTCACGCAACCATTAACTCCATCATCGTTGTGTATAGTTCGGAGATTGCTCGATCCCGCAGCGAATCATGAGTCTCCAGTTACAAGTGGTCTTTCTTCGGACCTGACGAGAAGGCAGAAACACCTGAACTTAGTATTAGATCATTTCTGCAATCGATGGCATAGAGAGTATTTAACGGAGCTACGGGAACAACATCGCGGAAGAAAAGAATCAGACAAGCGGAAGATTAAACTAGGAGACGTAGTATGTGTTCATGCATGAAAATTCGGTGCCACGCCAAAATTGGAAAGTCGCCGTCGTACAAAAGGGAGAGATGGTCGTGTAAGAGCTGCAGTAGTGCGTTTGGCCGAGGACGATAAGTGCCTGGAGTTAAGTCGACCAGTGGAAAGATTATATCCAATAGAAGTTCCAGAGGATCTTGAGGTGAATCATGAAAGAAATCCTGAGATTATTGATGTAAAAATCGTGCTGGGTGAACAAGTGGAAGTTATCCATGGAAGGAGAAAGTTGTGTAAATAGTTATTTCGAACAGTTGACAGTCTTAATTAAGATAGTAGCCTAATTTAGTTTAATTGATATTATCAATCAACTGGGGGAGTGTGTTAGAGACATTTGGATACGTAGGAACTCAAAAGGACATTTATGTACTTTTAAGTATGTTTGACGCGCGTGTGTTAATCTCGCGCGTTTTCCCGCGAAAATGCATTCGGAATGAAATCGTAAACGTGTTTGGTTTTGTAATTTTATTTGTCGGAAATAAGTCGTTCAAAAAGGGAAGAATTACCAGGGAATTCTAAATCATTTGTGGAATTTGGTCAAGGATATATAGTCACTCAAACAGCGATAATCCAATATTTCTGATTAATCTGGGATAACACGAAATTGGTGCCTGCGTCATATTCGCCATCTCGTGATGATATTCGACAATCAGTTTCGTCGTCCAGTGACCTCTAGGTAATATTATAGGAAATCGAGTACGGGGTTAACCTTGGACAGAATGCTTCTTTGTGAGACAGGTTTCTTCTTCTGTAGCATTGCATATTCCTCTACAAAAGCCTCTTTTTGCCACTCTCAATTGTTAGTTTTACAGGCATTGACTGAAAAGTCCCCACTTCGTTGTTCAGAACATGTACCTTCACAGTCTTAAATGGTTCAGATAACCCGAGTGCTCCCGTAACTTCCTTATTTAAAAAGACTTGAAGCATCATCCAAAATCGCGTTAATCTTTATCTTCCGCTTATCAGCCTTTAACCAAACACGAGGACGTGGACGTCAAAAGAGGACGTGAAGATGGCGAATAAATGGCGTGAGGCGTCTATATATGGACATGCCACACCATTTACTCGCCATTTTCACGTCGTCTTTGACGTTCACGTCCTCATGCTAAATCTCCCTAATGTCTCCGTTCAACACCGAAAACACAGATGTTTTTCTTTCGCAACCGTCCATCGAGAATCAACCGCCATTCCCTGAAACTTCTTACATGCCCACACTCCATGGTTTCCCATACACAACGCCATCACTGAAAAACGAACGACTACTAATTCCGCCCCCCGTCCTAAAACCACATCTACCTCGACCACCCTCAATCTTTCTTCCGCTTCTGTCACCGCCATCCTCAATCCCATGCACCATCTCAGCAGCCTCTATCTTAATTCGAACCCCTTCTCGCAAATTATCCCATACGATTTGTACAAAACAATAAATAATATATTTGAATAAAAAATGTTGTACAAAAGCTTTGACAAAAGATTATCAAAAGATTAAACGAAAAACCACAAAAAAACTCAAAAACATGTGTTCTTCCGGTAAGTTCCGAAGTTCCTACGAAGTTCATTCGGTTAACGAAAGTCTCCCGAACACACAGCTCCGGATAATTTTCCGAGGGGCTATCTTTAAAATAGGGAATGGAGAATGCGGGAATGCGGAAATGGGGGAATGCAGGAATTAGGGAATGGGGGAATAAGGGAATGGGGGAATAGGGGGATGCGGGAATGGGGGAATAAGGGAATGGGGGAATATGGGAATGGGGGAATAAGGGAATGGGGGAATAAGGGAATGGGAGAATAATGGAATGGGGGGATAAGGGAATGGCCAGTACAAGAGAATAAGGGAATAAGGGAATGGGGAATAAGGGATATGGGGGAATAAGGGAACAACGGAATAAAGGAATGGGGAAATAAGGGAATAAGGGAACGCAGGAAGGGGGGAATAAGGGAATGGGGAGTAAGGGAATGGGGGAATAAGGCATACGGGGGAGTAAGGGAATGGGGGAATAAGGGAATGGGGGAATAAGGGAATGCAGGAATGGGGAAATAAGGGAATGCGGGAATAAGGGAACGCAGGAATGGGGGAATGCAGGAATGGGGGGATAAGGGAATGGGAGAATAAGGGGACGCAGGAATGGGGGAATAAGGAAATAGAGTAACCAGTGAACGGTGAAACCGGTGAACAAGTGAGCGGGGGAACCGGGGAATGGGGGAACAGGGGGATGGGGGGAACCAGGGAACAGGGTAAAGGTATAGAACTATGGACTCATTGAGCAGCTAAACTAATAGAAACAGTCTTGAGCCTGAAAGGAACAACTGTTAGTATATATTAGGCGTGTATACAGTATTATGGCTCTCTGCATCTAGGATGCTACTTACAAATATATATTTATTGTTATTAATGCCAACCTGGCAATTGTTATTGTGATTTGTGAGACTCAGCTCTCTTGTATTAGATTTTACCAAAGTGAAAAATCAAAATATACTTGCCTTTCAGTAAAAATTAAAACTATAAATAAGATAATGGTATTGCTGTGTGCTAGTGTGTTAATTTATAGTTGCCATGCAAAATTTCATTTCAATGGTGATATCTATTCAAAATATAATGACAAATGCAACACATATGTTATACGAATAACATCGCTTCAAGAAACTGTTCTGTGTATATAATTTTCATGCATGTTTGCATTTGCTTTCAACAAAATCTATAAATGAACCCACTGACCCTTAAAGATGATGTAAAGTCTGTTCTGAGCATATATTCTGCGCATAACAATGTTTGTTTACGTTGGTTATCCCAACACCGCGGAAAAATGTCTGCGCACGCGCCGAAATATCAAAATATTATGGTAAATCTAAATATCAACTTTTGGAACAAAACATGCCCATTATTTGATAAAATATAAGTTAAGAAAAGGCAAAAATATACAAGACGGCCAGACAGAACATAAATTAAAAGCCTTCTAGCATTTAGAGTATCGAACGAACTGGAATTCACGGTAAATTTTCCTTTTTTTACGGGGTGGCTTTAGAATATTTTTCGAAAACAAAAGTTTAAACCTAAAAGTTAAGAAAACCCGCGGAAAGTTAAGCTTTCTAATATATTTAAATTGTAAAATACATCTTAATTTTCAATCATTGAGAACACGCAAACGTCTCGTATCTGGCGACATATTTTTTTTTAATAAAACGTGTCTCAATCAAAAGTTCGGAAACTGTCGTTGCTTATTTGATAAACAAAATGTTTGAGACGAAAAATTTGTCAACAGTCACCTTTTACAGGTGTTTTTGTAGGATGCCACTTCTAGGACTCGCTGGACGTTTTTTCTCTTAGTTTCTATAATGCAGTGTTTATTTATGCCATCGAAATATGGATTTGAAGACACGAATGAAATCACTCCTTTTTACCGCCATTTTTAGCCTTCGGAAACGTTCGGAACCGCTTTTTAATTATTTTTAATCTCACTTACAGGCAGAGTTGACGCGTGCGCAGACGTTTTTCCGCGGTGTTGGTTATCCCCGAGCCGGTGCGGAGCACCGTGCGAGGGTACTAATTCCGCTCGGATATTTACACCCACGATGTGCAAAGGCGAAATCAAAGTTGTTGCATAATGATGCAAAGGACCTCACGCCATGGACGGTCTTCTACGTTATGCGCATGCGCCAGTGTAAACTACTAAGCTCTTGATTGGTCGAGACAAATATTTGTATTAATTTTTTTAAACCTGCATAACTGTCATTTCGCAAAATTTTGAAGAAACTTATAAATATATTTTCATATTATTTATACTTCATAAATATGGAATATATATATTTTTAAGTTTTTTATATATATTTGTAAGTAGCATCCTAGATGCAGAGAGCCATGATACTGTATACACGCCTAATATATACTAACAATTGTTCCTTTCAGGCTCAAGACTGTTACTATTAGTTTAGCTGCTCAATGAGTCCATAGTTCTACCATTACCCTGTTCCCTGGTTCCCCCGACCCCCCTTTTCCGCTCACTCGTTCACCGGTTTCATCGTTCACCGGTTACCCCATTCCCTTATTCCCCCATTTCCTTATTCCCCCATTCCTTTATTCCCCCATTCCCTTATTCCCCCATTCCCTTATTCCCTTATTCCCCCATTCCCCTATTCCCCCATTCCCTTATTCCCCCATTCCCTTATACCCCATTCCTTTATCCCCCCATTCCATTATTCCCCCATTCTCTTATTCCCCCATTCCCTTATTCCCCCATTCCCTTATTCCCCCATTAATTCCTGCATTCACTTATTCCCCAATTCCCTTATTCCCCCATTCCCTTATTCCCTTATTCCCCCATTCCCTTATTCCCCCATTCCCTTATTCCCCCATTCCCTTATTCCCTAATTCCCCCATTCCCTTATTCCCCATTCCCTTATTCCCCCGTTCCCTTATTCCCCCATCCCCTTATTCTCCCATTCCCGGATTCCCGCATTCCCTATTTTAAAGATAGCCATTTCGCTCGTATGATACGGCAGTTCCTCCAAGAGGAACAAATAAACCGTTCTTTTGATGCTGTTCGATTAAATTTAGATTTCATTGGGGTAAGAATATATTTAATACGTGTAGATTCTGGTCCTATTTAAATAATATCGCACTCGCAGGATTGAAGATTTATTATAACTATATAAACGCGAATTCCAAAGGCAAAGTGTAAGACAAAGCGAACGTATCATGAGGTTTATTTTCATTTTTCAACAATTGAACATCTATACTTTTTAAAGTACGATGTGCTTCTGAATTTCGCGATCGAAAAACATTTAGTTTCCCCAGGCAATGAGTATGAACTGAATTGTTTATGTTCAGAAGCTTTATATTGAAGACTGGCACGCGCGCGGCACGCCGGAGTTAAAGCCAGAACAGGCGTCTCGTTAATACAATTTTTTGCCATCTAGTCACTTGGAATTAAATAAACATAAACTTATAATACTAAACTATGTTTATCATGAAATTTTGGCTTTTAGGCTATCCGTTTCGTACAAATATTGTTGTCAAAATTGCACATGGATCATTAACTTGTTCCGTTTAAGAGAATTTGTTTCCAATCCTATCAGCAACTCTAGTCGTAATTCGTAAAACAGTTCACCTGGTTGAATTTAATAAGATTAATAATGGTATAATTCCATAAAAAAATTTAAAGCCATGAAACAAACAAAAAATCAAATTTCTTTCAAATCGCTCTGCATCTGCAGTGATCTTGCGAGTCAGCGGCGAGTGAAGCCAAAATTTGCGTAAAATTTGCAGGACTTTACCTAAAGTTACCACTTTCATTTCCAAGAACAACCTGCATTGCCGGATTATCAGAAGCGGGTAGGGTATAATTTTGGAATTGAAAAGGATGTGTGGGAAAAATCCACTGGTATATCACTGTAGGCTGGACCTGGGGTTGTATAACTTCATCTGTCGAATCGAAAAGGCTTTGTTTGAGAACCATTTGCAGTTGTTCTTTTTCCTTTTTTTGTCACTTGGTGCACACCGATAAATAAAAGATTAATTTTCTTTTTCGTGGTATCCATCACGGAGGTTTCATTTTCGAGGCCGTCTACAACCGGGAGATTTACTCCATAGCCTTCAAGGACATTTTTTGTAGGGTTTCCTTTCGACCTGGCTTGTTTGAGGCTCATCGCGTGGATAGATCTCTCTCCTCTATAGACCTAGTTAATATATCTTGCATATTATGCTTCGGAGGTATTCTGCCTGAAAAATGTTTCTTGCAATAATTTTCAATCAAATACACATGTCTACGAATAAGCAGCCAATTCTTGTGACCATTCGCAATGTATTCAGATTCATTTTCGAAAACCAGAGTCTGTTTGATCCGGTTAGATAAAATTTGGTTTATACGATCTGATGCCTCTTGTTTTTGGGCAACATTACGTTCCATGTTAACTATTTAATTTTTTAGTTTTTGTATGGTTGATCTGAAGTGCTTCGTGTTTGCCTCGCCTGGATGCACTTTTTCTTCCCTGCAATTGTACACAGATAAACATTTTCCATATTTACAATTGAGAGACGTGTGACCAAGACGTAGATGACATGTGCGACACATATTACCGTCATCCGCATTTGACCTAACTCGAGCGAGTCTACTTTCGATAGCTTCTAGTTTGGCTTGAAGTTTCTTTTTATTTTCCATTTCTAACTCTGATTTTCTTAAATACCTCTGCATAGACGTTTGATGCAATAGACCACTTGCATTATGACGTCACACGCATGAGTGCCCGTGATGCATGACGGTAGGAGGCTGTAAGTTGCTTTCGAACGAAGTGGATGCCGTGTGTGGCAACTGTTCTGTTTTGGAATATACAATTACTTATTAATGGTTTCCGTGTTTGGATGGCCTGATCCAAACACGCGGGAATGTTGCGAGAGAAGCGGGAATGTTGCGAGAGAAGCGGAAAAGCGCGCGAAACACGAGCCAAAGGCGAGCAACATTCCCAAGTGTTTGGATCAGATCATCCAAACACGGAAACCATTAAGTAATTGTTTTATAAAATAACAAACCATAATAAATTTGTTTTTAAATTCCCGCGAAATTTCCGTGTTTGGATGGCCTGATCCAAACACGGGCTTCAACCAATCAGAACACGCGTTATATACATGTTATTTTATAAAAGATATTCTCGCTTTGCTTCTATTCTCGACATTGATCGAAACTTTTTTTGACATCGCTTGAGAGATTAGATTATTTTGTACTGGTAAAGGAAATTTAACGCGGATTAGTGTATTGTTGACAACGAAAATGCGCTTGGAATGTGACGAAATATGAACACGCGAAGAGAAAATTTGCTCGCTGAAGTCTGGCTACTCGAGCTTTAATAGGTATGCATGTTGCTTTGAGCTGTGCTTCGGTGTTTGCGATTTATATAAAGTTAGGGAGCGCTTCTCATATGGTTATATTTCGGAGTTTTTTTGAAGAAATAAGCGGTTTGGAGAAGGTATGTTGACTATAGTTTATTAATTTTTCTTTTATTTATGGTTTGGTTATAATTTACGCTGTAGAAAAAGTCAAATTATTACACCATGGGAATGAAAGGTCTGAAAGTCGTAGATTTAATGCGTCCGGAGGTTTGAAAACACGTTCGGCTTTTATTCATTATTTTTAAACCATTTTTAACAACAGAAATTTCAACAATTTCACTTACTTTGTGGTGTTCTACAGTCACTCATGCCAATAGATTTAATATGAAATTGTTATTAAAATTGAGCATGCTATTTACTGTATACTGTAATGTTAGTGTAAACAAGTGCTGTATATAAAATTTACATGTTCAAGGCGATATTTTGTATTATTAAACATTTTGTTGTAGTTTATAAATAACCATTTTAGTTACAAAAAATACCAAAACGAAAGACAAAACCTGCACAAAAGTATTGATGTTGAAAATATGAATTGGATTTTATATTGCATACATTTGTATTTTAATATCAAAGTGTGAATACATAATTATAAATTTTTAATAAATGCAAAAGTTATACGGTAAAGGTTCTTTCTTTCTTTCACTTTTAGACAGTGAGCGAAGAGACAGTCAGTCAGAAACCACTGTGTTTGCACTGGTCAATATTTATCAGAATTATTTCTGATTCGATAAGCAACCATTGTGTTGGCGCTGGTCAATATAAATCAATTACTGATTTGACCAGACATCTATATCCAGTGATTGGATACATCAGTTACAAAATCAAACCAAACGAGTGTGTGATCCTCGTTAAACAACTAAACGAGTGTGTGGTCCTCGTTAAACAACTAAACGAGTGTGTGGTCCTCGTTAAACAAACTAACCAAGCCATTGTGTTTGCTATTAAACTAACAAGACAAAGCCATTGTGCTTGTGAGAAGAACTTAATATCTGGTGCTGAAATACCAAATAACGAAAATGGGAGAGTCAATTGAGCAATATCGTGTTCGAATTGGAGTGCACAACAACATAAGAATGAAAGCTTCTTTACCTTTGCTTGGAGGTAAATATGTTAGTGATATCATAGTGTTCATACTTTTTTCCTTGCTTTTTACATTAATGATATTGTTATTTTGTCAAGTACTTTTTCTGTACATGAGTTATTTGGCAGCAAATGCAAGATGCATTGAAACAGGAAGTGAAATGATTATATCATTTAATGAAATGTCATGCAACAATGTGTATGTCCCACTGTTATTGAGATTGGCCAATGATGTTGAGGAAAATCCAGGACCAACAATATTTAATGTGGTTGATCCCACAAAAACCATATGTGCCAGTTTTAGTCAAGGTGATACAATGAAATTTGGAGAAAATTCTAGTAAACAATGTGTAGCAATGTCTTTAACTGCTATAATTCATAATTATATAACAAATGTTACTTGCTGGGATTCTTCACTTTTGAATAGCATACTTTGTGTTGGAGATAATCTTTATGCATTTATAAGTAGGTCTATTAATAAAAGCTTTTTGCTCTTAACTGATGTGCCTGAAAAAGTTTCAATTTTTGATAGCATGTATCATTTAGAATACAGTGACCCATTAGCTGGTGATTTATTTATGGGAACTACCAATTAAGAAATGATATATAGAAACACACGTGGGAGTTTGGGAGAACGAGAAATAATCAGTGGGAAAACGAGCCCGTAGGGCGAGTTTTTCCACGTTATTTCGAGTTCTCCCAAACTCCCACAAGTGTTTCTATAACTGTATAGAAACACAGGAAAAAATGTTTTCTATTTCTTTTATAATATAACTCAATAAAAAGATTTTGTACAAATATTATGATTCGATTCAATTACAAATTCTCATTACATCGCTTCGCTTGTCAAGTTCGGCGGGAAAATTCCCGTGTTTCTATACAGTTATAGAAACACGCTTCTCGACCAATCAGCACGCGCGTACTATAAATGCTATATTATAATTTTCCTTACTACACTTTAGAAGATGCTCTTGGTAGTCTATTTTCCAATTTACAACTGAATTGTAGGGAATGCCTGTTGACTATAAATGCTAACACTGTTGCAATTTTTAAAACTTCTGAAGAGAATTTCAAAATTTTTGATTCCCATTCAAGAGATTTATATGGTATGCCACACCCATTGGGAAAATGTGTAGTAGTGTCTATTGAAGATATAAAAAGTCTTGTTGTGTATTTTCAAAATACTGTATCTCGAAATCCTGGCATGCATATGATTCCATTTGAAGTCAAAGGGGTTATTGTGAGTAAAACCGAGAAAGAGACTGCTATGTCATCAATGCAGAATAGTGTGGATACAAGTGCACAGCGAATTGCAATAGATAAGCTTAAGTAACTAAAAAAAGACGGAAACTACAGAAGAGCTAAACGAGCTTGTGAAACAGAAAGTGAGACACAGGTTAGACTTGAAAATGCTAGAAAATATCACAACTTGAAACAAGCAGTAGAGACTGAAATTGAAAGGCAAACTAGACTCGAGAAAGATCGAGAGTATAGAAAAAGAAAACGAGCAGAAACCATTGCTGAAAAACAATCTCAATCTGAAAATTCTAAACAGAGCAGGAAAAGCAAAGTTACAATTATGTCTCAGGAAAACTACTTGAAAGAATTTGACATTTATAAGAATGGTGGCATTCAAGAACAAAATTGGGCTCAAGCTAACATAGCTAAATTTCATAAATCTAATGACTTGCACATAAGTCAATGCAAAATTTGTTATGAGGCATGGCCATTGAAGTCTAAAGCTACAGTCTGAACCCTACAGCCTAAAATGAATTTTGTTAATGTGAATGTATTAGGAATATTTTCAGATGGTAATGATACATTTAGGTCGGGCTTATTAAGTTCAATTTTCCACACATTCAAAAAGCAAGTTCGAGCGAAAATTGAAAAAGTTAATAATTAACAGAGTATTGGGCCTCTCCGAGTCAATCTTTTCTGAATATCAAGTTCAACTTCGCGTTTTGACTTCTGTTATGAACGTTTATCTATCTTAGTCTGGGTTGTTTAATATTATGTAGCAAGACTTGGCTTACATTGGCTTATACGGGCGCACCAGGAGTTATTTTCCCTTAGGTTAAGTAACTTCCAGTTATTCTAGCCACCTCATTTAGTCGAAGGCAATGGCTGAGACAACTGCTAACTCGAGTATTCCAAAGCAAAGGAGCGTTTATTTGATCACGTTTAGTCAATGCGACAGTTCACAACTGTCCAGAGTAGAATTTGCGAACCTAATTGTTAATTCATGGCATTCCTGTTCCCGGTCGAGGATAATCCAGTGGGTAGTCAGTTTGGAGGCGCATCAAAACGGTGGTAGTCACTTCCATATGGCTATAAAATTGAGCAACACGGCTAGATGGCGAGCTGTAAGAAATTTCATCGATAATAGATACGGCATAAAACTGAACTTTTCCGACAACCACGCAAATTACTATACAGCATATGAATACGTTGTCAAGGAAGATACAGAATTTGTGCTGTCTCAAGGCCATCCAGACCTCGCAAATTCAGGACCACCGCCATCTACAAATGGGTCACGGCAACGAAAGAAGGCAGGAAAGATTTGCAAGGGGAAAAAACGAAAGCGACTGGTCGTGTTTGACGTTGTACGGATAATACAAAACAAAAAAATTAAGACACGTCTGGAACTGATAGCATTGGCGGATAAATGGCAAGAAGAGGGTAAGACAGACCTTGCAGAGTTCGTTTCGAACCGGGGGCCTAAGATAGTGAACGCGGCCATCGATACTGCTAAAGAGCTGAGCGAGGCGCAAGCAAAGCTGGAACGCGCTAATAAATCACGTCTTCAACTGCTGGAAGAAAGTGCGGCTAGTTCATGTGTCGATGGTTGCCAGGGTGCGTGGATTTCAGCTGCGAATGAAATTTTAGATACAAACGGAATCGCCAAAGAGTGTTTTGCGTCTGCTATCTATGACGCATTGAAACGTGGTCAAGGGAAATATCGCAACATATATATCCATGGGCCGGCAAATTGTGGCAAATCGTTCATTCTTCGCCCCCTGACAAAGATTTTCCGATGTTTCATGAACCCAGCGTCTGGAAGCTTCGCTTGGCTTGGAATTGAAGATGCTGAGGTGGTTTGGCTAAACGATTTTCGCTGGAAGCTTTCGCTTATACCCTGGTGTGAGTTCCTGCAAGTGTTAGAGATGAAAACTTGCATTTCATGTTTTGCAAAACTTATTATTAGCAGTATATAATTACATAATATAGTCAAACGCATTAAAGCTTCCGGGACAGACGAATTAAAATTAAATGAGAGTGGTTCACACCTTGGTTCACACACTGATTCACACACACAAAATCTTAAATAACAAAAAAATAAAACGGTTTAAAATCAAGTTGAGGCCTGGAATAGAATCTTGGAATAAGTGTCCAATATTATTTTCCCTAACTCAGTTCAGACAATAATAAATGACTAAACTGAGAGTTAGCACGATTCACACTTTGGTTTGTATAAATCAGATAAGACCTTTCAAGTATTAATATAGATTTGGGTGTGAATCATTTCATTTTATAAAATTTGGTTCATTTTGGCGTTAAATTAAAAGCAAAATATGCCAATAGAAATAGGTCTGATGCCACTGCTTGCTCAACGTAAAGACAAATGTAAATACCGCGTAAAATTCAAGCAGAAAATCAATAAACGTTTGTGTGAATCAAAGTGTGAACCACCAATACGCGCGTGCATCGTTTTGAGATCTCATGTTTCACTTGCTTAATACTTCGTTCTAAATCCTTTACATTCGATAACAGCTTCAATGCGCTTAGGCATGCTTAATAATAGATTGTTAATATAACTAACTGGTGTTTCGAATATAGTTTTCTGAACTCTTGTTTTAAATTCCTGCCACGTTTCTTGCTGTATGCTCCTGGCGATGACTTGCCTCTCGAGCTCTCGTTTCACTACATGAAATAAGTTCTCGATTGGATTACGATCTGGTGAACGTGGTGGAATAGCAAATAGGCCCCCAAATAAAGTAGCACGTGCTTTCATTATTGCTTTTCTGGCAGCCTTGCTTCTCTGGGAAGGATCGTTATCCATAACGAACCACTTTTCTTCTGTTTCTCCAGTGAAAAGCTTTGACAAATTCGTCTCAACGAAATCTCTGAAGTATTCCCCACTCATATGCTCATACTCCTTGGCCAGAACTACGCCTCTGTTATAGGCAATAGCCACAAGGAGATGTAATCGTTTCCCTCCTGCTAAATTTTTCGAGCCCTTGCTTGTTACTCGTAGCCCTTCGGACTTTTTTCTCCATATCTTACCCTTTGGGGCAGTAGCATCATGTATTGGTTGGCGCTTAAATACAAACGAAACTCCATGCATCCAAGTAAAACGAAATGTTAGAGTGGAATAAACTTGGTTTCATTTTCAAAATTTTTCACATTTCTTTGCAAATTTGTACCGTTTGGCATAATCACGACGATTCAGAACTCCCTTTTTTCTAGCGTTCAAAAACTTGAATCCTGCGCCCTTAATCTCTCTGTAAAACGTTGAATAAGATGCTCCCGAAGATTCAAGTCCGCTGAAGCGAATAAGCTCTTTCAATGTGAAATTCGGATTAACATCACGCAACTTTCTTATACTACGCTCTAAATGCCTGGGATCACAAACAGATAGTTTTTTAGGTCGCCCCGTACTTGCAGATGACCTTTTCTTCTGCTTTAGCCTCGGTGTTTTCAAATATCGCGCGACAGTTGACTTAGAGATTTTAGCTTTTTTAGCAATTTCACGAATCGAATACTTATTTTCCATACTTAAGAATCGAACAAGCGCCCGCGTTTCATCAGAAATCTTTTGTAGCTACGAAGACCATTTTGGCAATTATATATAAAGGATATCGAGGAAACGGTTTATCCTATATAATATAGTGACATGTATGGCTGACCCACTATTGTATAGCATGACATATTAAACCACATACGCACGTCACAGTCGACTATTTGCGTCAAATATGCACAGTTTGTAGGTGCTGTTTATCAGCTCACCTTTGCATCCTACTCACTTAGAATACAAGTTGCTAGTTTAGCAGATAAATGCGCATTTATCTCTTGCAAATGCAGCAATAATGTCTCAACGCAAACACTTTCCCTAATATATACATTGTGGTGATACATTTCATTTAGTAAATTTTACTTTTATAGCACAATTATAGCTCTGATTTGCCGAGAAATAAACCGCAAATTGAGAATACATAAATATTATTGAAAACTATGTACAATTTACAAAGCATAGGGTGATGATAGCTCTTTTAGGTTGGTTTAATTTGAGTATATAAATACCTTAATTTAATCAATATAGTTAACTAAGCTTTCAGACAATCATTTTCAAAAGTAGTTTGGACACCTACTATTTTTAGCTAAAATCTACTATATAGGATGATTTCCATACATTCCTCCCCCCTCCCCCCAATCAATGTTGGTTTTCAAATCGAAACACGTTTCGGAACAAAATGTCCGTCTATTTGGGACACAACATTGAAAAGGGGGCGCGGGGGATCTGGGTTTGTCTTATAAATCGGTAATTTGGCTACCTGTCCCAACTCTTTTGAAAATGATTGTATGTCATCTAATGATTATGTTTGCTCACGATGCTTCAGAGATAAAAAATCTCCCAAAAAGTTTTCAGTTGAAAATTCAATGATTCCTTCTCCCATACCACAACAGTTACATAGTTTGACTCAAATGTTGATTGCACGAGCTCTTCCAATCATGAGAGTTTATATCAAACCTGGTGGACAACGAGGCTACTCGGGCATTGCATCAACCTGCCACAAGATGTAAAAGAACGTGCAACAACATTGCCAAGATATCCAAAAGAATTGTCTGTGATTATTGTCAGGGCTAAAGGTAAAAATGACGCATTTAAAGATGTTACTGTGAGGAAACAGAAAGTACATGAAGCGTTATTGTGGCTAATGCAAAATAATCCATATTATGCTAACTTACAAGTTAATGAAGATGCATCAAATTTATTGCCAGAGAATGGTGTACCACCAGATCTTATGACTGTTGAGACTGATGACGATATACTCTCAGGTAACTGTTCTCCTGATGCAGGACCTCCCACTGATAACCCAACAGAGGATATTGTGTATAATGATTCTACAGAAATGAGTAGTTTTCTACCTGTTGGTGAACAACAGCAACAGGAGATACAAGCTGTTAGAAGTCAGCTTACTGAAAATGACCCAATGCAATGGCCGTCAGTTGAAAATGAACCTTTAAACGAGTATCAGATATCACATCTAGCTACAATGGCTTGCCCAACATTATTTACAGATGGGAAAGGTGATCCTACTAATCAAGGACTTTTGAGAGATGTATCTCTTCAGGAACGGATAAAGCATCTTTTAAAATTTGCTGAAATTATTGATGCTAAATGGGTCTACCGTTTTGCCAACCATCCCAGATTTTCTTACTGGGGCTTTAACATGATTCAGAGAAAACGAATCTTACAACAAAGTGGGATATTCCTAAAACAAAACCCTGGTGAAGCACATCTCACCATTGATGAACTGCGAGAAATGGCTGCCAGTAACACTGCTAATGCATTTATGTCTAAAGTGTCCAGATATGTCGGCAACATTGCTGGCACTAATGCTTACTGGAATAAAGTAAAAGACGAACTCAAAGCTATAATAACTACTGTTGGAGCACCAACATTATTTTTTACTTTTTCCTCTGCAGACATGCATTGGCCTGAGTTACATGCTTTGTTTAATGCTGGTGCTGATTGTGGAACTGGTAATACTACCAGTCAAGTCAGACGACAAAATGTCATTAATAACCCACATCTTGTAGACTGGTTTTTTACCCAGAGATTGGAAAGCTTTGTAAAACACTGGCTTTATGAAACACTTGGTGCAAAATGGCACTGGTTTAGATATGAATACCAAGGTAGAGGTAGTATTCATTGTCATGGTACTGCTAAACTAAATAATGACCCAGGGTTGTGTCAACTTACTCAAACTGCTTTGAAAGGTTTCTTAGCTCAAAAATTTAAAGATGAGAATGATTGTTCTGACACAACTGAACTAGATCAGGATATTGAAGCTGGTCAGGAAGCAGCTGACACAGTATGTCAGTATGTTGATTGGTTACTATCAACCGTCAATCTTAATCCACCAGATAAGGATATGTGGATAAGACCTGAGATTCATCCATGTCAAAACCTGATTCCTGAACATGAAAAACAATCAGCTTATGTAGATCTGTTAAATATGGTTCAACGACACACTCGTTGTAGTACTAGCTATTGTCTAAGAAAAAAGTCAAATGAGACTGAATTAAAATGTAGATTTCATTTCCCATTTGATAATTGTCCACAGACAAAGTTAGAATTTAAAAAAATCCACACTTCAGGTGATAATGAACATTATAGAGCAAAAATTGTGACTAAACGAAATGATGCTAGGTTAAATAACCACCAACGACTTCAACTCTAAGGATGGAGAGCAAATTGTGATATTCAAGTTGTTATCGATCACTATGCTTGTGTTGAATATCTCACAAAAAATGCTGCTAAAGGTGAACCAAGGTCACCTTTATTGAAACAGGCATTTAACTCTATTATGCAAAATGTTAACAGTAATACTGATCCTCGCAGAGCTATTAAGAAGGTAGTTATGAGATCTCTTGGTGAACGAGATTATGCTGCTCAGGAGACAATGCATAATTTGTTGTCTTTAAAACTTCATAGCTCATCATTTAATGTGATACCTGTTAGTTTAAATGGTTCACGTAGAGTACGTGACACTGCAAGTATTGAAGAAGGTGAGTCATGCACCGATTACTCACTTCTCGATGTGTACGCTAATCGTGAGCAATATGACAGTTCACAAAATATCATGAATATGAATTTTGTTCAATTTGCCACAACATATAAAGTTGTTAACAATGAACTGATAAGATTGCCAGATAATGTTATACCGAGAATATTCCCAACTTATTCTCCTAATCCCAAAGGTCCAAATTTTGGACTATATTGTAAATATCAACTCTTAAGGTATAAACTTTGGCAAACAACCCAAAACAATGGGTGGGGTGACCAAGAACCAACTGACGACGTTCTAATCAATTCTTGGCAACAATTCATGCAAACACCTTATGGACAATCTAATGTCCCAGACTGGTTTGACAAATTACAAGCTGTCATCCAAAGTCAAGAACCAGAAGATGAACCTTCTGAAGAAAGGGAGGTAACACGAGAAGAGTGGATGATATTATCAGACCTTCACACTCCTTTTGAGAACTCTGAACAAACACCAGAGTCAACATATGATTGGCATGTTGATAGAGGCAATTATTCCGAACAACAAATCCATGAAATGCCAACGTGGATAAAAACAAACAAAGAGGACTACACTATTGATGAGCAATATGATGTTGTTGACCTAAACAGTTTTAGTGAAATGCAAAAACTTGCCTTTGACATTGTTAAGTCTCATTTTGATGATACATCACCTGAAAAAGATCCATTATGTCTAATTATAAATGGTGTTGCAGGGACAGATAAAAGTTACCTTATTAATGCTCTTAGAAATGTTTTGCAAAGTAAATGTGCGATTGCTGCTACCACAGGTGAAGCAGCTTATAACATTAAAGGTGTAACTGTGCACTCGCTGTTAAAGTTACCTATAGGGTCAAGAGGCATAAAGACTTAACAGGACAAAGCTTGTGTAGATTACAGGAGAGTGTTAATAACATTGGGTACATCATTATTGATGAATACTCCATGCTTGGCCAAGTTACTTTTGGTTGGATAGACAAGCGTTGCAAACAAGCAACTGGTTATAATGACAAAGTATTTGGTGGAAAATCACTAATTTTAACTGGTGATCCAGGTCAATTGCCACCAGTGGCAGATAAGCCTCTTTATCATGCTAAACCATCAAATGCTGTTGGCGAACAAGGTTATCAAGCATATCATATGTTTGACAAAGTTGTTAAGCTCACAATAAATCAACGTGCAAGGTATGACATCTGAACAAATACAGTTCAGAGATTTGTTGTTACGACTTCGCAAAGGTGAGTCGACAGTCGATGACTGGAAATTACTTCTGACACGTCAACCATCAAATATCACCAATTTATGGGACTTTGAAGATGCTACTAGACTCTTCTATAGTAATGAACAAGTTGCAAATTACAATAATGAACAGCTAACAAAACTTGAGCATCCAATTGCCTATATTAATGCTCGCCATTCCTCTGCATTGGCCAAAAAGATGTCCTCAGATGATATGTCTGGGTTGGAACCTGTTGTGTTTCTAGCAAAAGGTGATAGAGTTATGCTAACCATGAATTTGTGGTCAAGTGTTGGCCTCTGTAATGGAGCTACTGGAACAGTTGTTGATATTGTCTATCAGAACAACCATCAACCACCTGACTTGCCTATCGCGGTCATTATTGAGTTTGAGAACTATAGAGGTCCTGTTTTTAATATGAACAAACCATCTTGCGTTCCAATATGTCCAATCACAGTCTTCTCACAGTCGGAAACTGGTTTTCATGAGCGGCAACAGCTGCCTCTGAGACTTGCCTGGGCTCTAACGATACACAAGAGCCAAGGACTTACAAAAGCTTGGATAGATATTGGGAAATCAGAAAGAACTGCTGGAGTTTCATACGTTGCCATAAGCAGAGTGAAGTCGCTTTCATCTTGCGTCATTGAACCCATGACATATGAACGATTAACAAGTTTGAAATCATCGGCTAATTTACAATACAGGCTTGAGGAGGAAATTAAACCGCCTAGATCGTTTAGCACTGACTACCAATAGCAGTGCATTATAATTGACAAACCATGGAGTTTGAAATTAGACGGTATACTGTTACTTGTCGGTCGTACGGCATCCCTGGGCAACTGAACCAAATTTATTTGGCGGTCACGGGCCTGGTAGTTCCAAAAAAACGTAATTTAATTTGTTATTGAAGTGTTTTTCTACAAAAGCATTAACGAACAATTTATCAAGTAATCCAAATGAACTAATGGTATAAGCAGTTGCCATGCCAGTATTGCAGTAATATATTAAATGTGATGAGATGAACTTCAACTTAAAGAGAACTATTTTTCAAGCATTCGTAGTTTGACTTTGGACAAAATACACAGATACAGTGTTATTTGTCGGAATTCTCCATTGTGATCTGTTGTTGTGTTGTGATGTGTAATGTTAACTAATGTAATGTAATGTGATGTGTATAATGTTACTAATGAGTAATGTGATGTGATGTAATGTACTGTATGTGTAATGTTAACTTTCTTTATCTATTCATGTACAATGATACTTTGAAAAACGGAAGGTATCGAAAGGCGAACTTCTAATTTTAAAATGTCTCATTGTTGATTTTATGTTTATGATATTGTTATAAAGAATTTTATAATATAAGAAATTTTGGTGAAAAAGACCACGCGTATTATTGTGTTTTATAGACCACTGATCTATATAGGCATACGCTGGCGTCATGCCATGACTCTTTCAAATGTTAGGTAATCTAATATGTCAAATATCCAATATTTCTGTGCCGCGACTGTACCCACAGTCTAGATTTCCAAACGTAATAATCTTTGAGAACTCAGATTAGCTTGCAGTTTTGCATGACGTTTTTGCATGACACAAAGACTGAGTTTCTGATTATTGGTTTGAGACAGCAGCTGTCTAAGGTGACCGCTAACTCCATCAAGGTCGGAGAATCCATGATTATGCCGATATCATCTGTGCGTAACCTCGGTACTTGGTTCGATAATCAAATGTCAATGAGTGTCCACGTTGGGAAAGTTTGTAGCAAGGCATTCCATAGTTTGTATAACATCCGTCAAATTCGAAAGTTTTTAACTCCTGACTCGACGAAAACACTAATTCACGCCTTAGTCACTTCACATCTTGACTATTGCAACTCTTTGTTATATGGTATACCTCAGTACCAATTTAATCGACTGCAGCGAGTTTTGAACGCTGCTGCTCGAGTTGTCTGTGTTGTTCCTAAGTTTGGGCATATCTCACCAATCTTAAAGCCTAAAGGAGCTGCATTGGTTACCTGTTCGATATCGCGTGGAGTTCAAAATTGCTCTCCTTGTTTTCAAAGTGTTACATGGGGAGGCACCTGCATACCTTGTGAACTTGCTTCAATTAAAGGACGTAGGAACCTATCGTCTAAGATCTAGCGGGCAGAAACTACTCGTTGTTCCTAGAACAACTTGTAAAACATTTGGAGACGGTGCTTTTTTTAAAGCTGGTCCTGTTGTGTGGAATAGCTTGCCTCTTAATATAAGAGAAATCTCTAATGTTTTAACATTTAAGAAACATTTAAAGACCTTTTTGTTTACAAAGGCCTTCGGGTAATAGAAAGACTTGTAGTTTTTAGCTTTATGATTTACTATTTTGGATTTCTGTAAAGATATATTTTTATACATATATATTTTATATAAGTTAGATAACAATGGTTGTAAATTGTAAACTGCGCTTTAGAATATTTATAGTTTTAGCGCAATATAAACACTTTTTAAATTAAATTAAATTAAAATTAAATGAAGGCAGCACTTCCCTTGCGATAGTAAAAAACAGTAAATAGACGTGCATGATGTCATGCTCGGTACTGTGACAGTATTGGTCGAAATATATCACGTGACATCCGGGCAAGTCTGCTGTTCAAATCAGCAGGGTTCGAACAGTGAACTCAAATAAAACTGGAACGCTCACTCTATGACTTTCCCTCATTGATGAGTGAAGCCAAGATGGCGGATCATGATGCCTTTCTTGTAGGTATGATCCAGGCCTCTGGCGCGGAAACTTCAAAGGAAAAATCAGAATTCCCGACAAAATTTCCGCGTGGAGGCCTGAATCATACCTACAAGAAAGGCTTCATGATCCGCCATCTTGGCTTCAAACTTCCGGCAGAGTGAGCGTTCCAGTTTTATTTCAGTTCACTGGGTTCGAATCATTCGGTATCTCATTCTCAGATCACAGTGAACAGTTCAGTGTGTATTCGTTTCAAGCAGAAAAAAATAACGGTATGTTGCATTGTTTATATTGTAATTTTTTGTGACTTTAACCATGTTACTGCCCGATTCCACGTATATTGGATAGTCGAATTAGTCTTTTGCTAGAGTCACAGTGCGACCGCACTGGCGTGTGTTAAATTGTATTTTATAAACACATTTGATTAGGGCCATTTATACCAGCGAAAATAAGCCGCGGCTTAAATAAGTCGCGAGGAACTCGTATGGACGGTCAATTTGTTCACAAGCCGCGGCTAAAATAAGCCCAGAGTTGAAGCCTAGACTTAAATAAGCCGCGGCTTGTTGTAAATTGACTGTTTATACGAGTTCTTCGCGACTTATTTAAGCCGCGGCTTTCGCTCGTATAAATGGCCCTATTGTCATTGCCTTTGCTTTAGGCTTTTACAAGTTTTATGTATTTTTATTGGATTAAATATTAAATTATAGTTTACATTTTACTAGATGGATGAGAAAAATCAACAGAACCAAGCTTCAGCAGGTACGTTTACTTTTGGGATTTTTAATACTCTGAGAAGAGGCCTGATCATAAATAGCTTTTCTGTACCGCGATAGCGAACGACGATAGCGAACTTGTTTGATGCGGATAAACACTTGCCAAACAACATGTTTGATAGACACGGAAAGCTTACAAGAACATACTTTAAAAAAACGAAAAGGTTACTACGCTTTCCAGTTGAATTTAGAATGACAATACTAGTTTTGTCCCAGACTCCGAAAAGAATTTATTTTGTGCGAGAAAGGTATTCTTTCTTGATAAAAATGCGTGGATTTTTTGGGGAAAAGTTGAGACCTCTGCCTCTGCCAGCAGGGAAAGGAAAAAGTCACGAAATACACAAGTTTTTACGACATACCGTGGATTTTCTATGCAGAGCCGAACTTTGTGCAGATTATATTAAGAATATTTGCGTGGAAAATTATCTGCAAAGGCAAAACGTTTCAGTCTCGGCTTTTTCAAGGCAATTTAGGTCATACCGCCACACCTTTATCTTTAGATTTAGTTGGTTCCACCATATATGTCAGCCTAAAAGCACTTAATTAAAGTGAAATACATTATCAAAATAACGGTGTTGTTTTGATAATGTATTTCACTTTAATTAAGCGTTTTAGGCTGACATATGGGGTGGGACTAAATCTAAACAAAAAAGGTGTGCCCGTAGGCCTATAAATTGCCTTGAAAAACAACTGTTAAAATTTTAAACCTACATAGTGTCATAATAAAAATTTTACCAATATTAAAAGGTTATTTTGCGATGAATTTTTAGCTCAGCGGGCTAGACATTCCGCTGAAGCGTTCTAAAACTTTGACGTCGTTCTTAGAATTTTTCTTTAGATCTTTTAAAGTTTTTTTTCCTGACCAATTGTAACTTTCCTAAAGTTTCAGGGATTAACCCTTTCCTGCATAAATTTTGATTTTTTAAGGAAAAAAATATCTGATGGCAAATTATACATATTTGGGCAGGCTCTTTGTCATCTGAATAATAAAAAAAAAAATTGGGGGGTTTTCGAGGGTATTTTGGAATTGTTGCTCTGGAGCAACATTGTGCAGAAATGGTAAAATAATATGGTAGTGTAAAAGAAACTAGAGACAGAGCTATATGTTCTGAAGTATCTTATTTACCTAGAGTAATCATGCTAATGACAATTATATACAATTATTTACAATGGAAGTCTTCAAAGACTTCTAAAACAGTTCTTCCCTATCACCAAGCATAGGTGGACTTAGCACTTTGAGATAGTGCTATATTGTTCTGAAGTCTCTTATTTTCCTGGAGTAATTATGCTATGGACTATGATTTACAATTATTTACAATACTATTTACAATTACTTACAATGAAAGTCTTTAAAACAGTTCTTCCCTCTCACCAAACATAGGTGGACTTGGCACTTTGTACATTGAATAAATGAATATCCTTTTGGACAATGGCGACAGCGCTGTTTTTTCTCACTAAAATCAGGCATATGTCCAACCCCATCATATCTCACATCAGCTATGGGAGTAGGGATTACATGACACTTGGTTTTCTTCTTTGGAGGGGGTGTCAAGGACGGTCGGCCGCGCTGTGGTTTTCTGACCTTGTCCACCATAAGTAGGGCAGTTGCAACTTGTGTCTGAAATTTTAGGAGATCCATTTGGGCTTTTCCTGGTACATTTTTCTGGGATGCATGTCTTCGATAGAGCAGCCAACCATTGACAATTGAAAGGTTGAGGCAATAGTATAGGATGTGCATGTAGAATTTTGTGGAGCGTAACTTGATTCGATACAAGGCCATCAGCATATCACATAAGTCGACACCACCCATGTGCTCATTATATTCCTCAACTATCTGGGGTCTTGGTATTTCAACATGCTTTTTCTCTTTCGTTGACCATCGCTTAGCTGGTGTTCCCATGGAATTTCCTACATGGTTGGAGATCAACTGAACCAAGCCATTATCCATCCATCTCACTATAGTAATATTTGTATCAGCATCAACACACCAGTCAGAAGAACCCCGTCCTTTCTTGCTCAACTCTTTTTTGTTGTTTAGCAATTTTTCCGCCCCTTTCAATCGATCAGCTCTAATCGTACCAACAGCCCAGATTCTTGCTTGTTCTAGATGCCGTAGTAGATGGACTGAGGAAAAATAATTGTCAAAATACACTTTGTGCCCAACATTCTTTGGAAGGGAACTACACAAATGCCTGACAACATTGCCACCTACTCCTAGGAGGGGATCATCGTCCTCTGATCCAGAGCCACTTCCAGTGTATATTTGAAAATCATACACCATGCCACTAACTCCACATCTTGCCCACACCTTTATACCCCATTTGTGTGGCTTCTTTGGGAGATATTGTCGTAGACCAGTTCTACACTTTGTAGGAATGATTTGTTCATCAATCGAGTGCTTTTCTTCCTGGGGGAGTAGCTTGCATTTCTCCAAGACGGAATCAATCACTGGTCTCACTTTGAATAATTTGTCGTGGTTGGGATTATCTCTTGGGAGCATTTCTGTATTGTCATTGCAATGCAGGTACTGCTTCAGCTTGTCGAACCGGCCCACACTCATTGTGTCAGCAATCGATGGAATACGAGTGCCATTGCTCCAATACATTCTATACTGAGGTTGCTTGATTACACCCATCATCAACAGTATTCCAAAATACTGCTCTAGTTCATGTTTGGTCATCTGAACTGATTTTCCACTTTTTTGCACCGAATACAGGTTACTTTGATCAACAATATGATCAAGAAGTTCATTGCCAAAAAATTGTTTGAAATATTCAATGGGTGTCAGTTCATTTTCAGGTGGATCAGGAAAGGGGGCTCCAGTAAACATAGTATCAACATCAGCTGGCAATTTTCTCTGCCATCGGTAAGATGTTTCTTTACTTTTATTCTTTGAGCTCTTTTCACCTGATGGTTGTGGTGCATCATTATTTTGCTCTTCATCCTCTGAATCATAATCACTTGATTCATCAACATCATTGTCGGAATAAAAGTTTCATCATTTGACAAACCCAGATTTTCTAAGGCCTGTTCTGAATTGTCCTCCTCTGAACTGCTATCATCACCAGGGACAATTACATTTGTGATCCTTGTTTCAGTGTGTATGCCGCTATCTGTCAACCGAATTCTTTGATTACGACTCTTCCCATAAAAACTTGCTGTTGAAATACTATTTGCCATTTGCCTAAAAAACACAAAAATTCAAATTATATCATGTGAAGCCAGCAAGTATTGTTGATACCCCACTGTATCTGTATTCTAGCATTCAAAATATGAAAAATATAATCATTTCGTTTGAATAGCACCATATTTTTGCCTATATTTCATTGAATTCAATACATAAACGCTTTACACGCTTTTTTAAGTGTATATAAGGTCATATTTTGTAGTAAAAGCCGTCGAAAACCATGTGGTTCTTTACTAATTTGTATACATATTTGTATCCCGTACAGCCGTACTGCATGATGTTGCTTCACAGCAACGATTAATAATGCATTATTTTCGTCAAAATAAATCGCAAAATCTGTCCAAAGAGTATTCAAGATACATCAATATACTATTAAATATAATATTTCAATATAAAACTCAAGTAAAACACAGCTTACCTTAGTGTTTAATTACATTGAAGTTTGAGCGTCGTGACAGTCCGCCATTTTACAGCGTGGTCGAAGAAAATTTATTCAGAATACTTTGTATAAGCAAAATATAGCTATCCCTGCATGCATAATAAATTGTTAGATGCTTCTCTTGAACCTACAGGGGACCCACGATGATAACAGCTAATTGCCGAATTTTAATTAAATTATGAAAGATTGTTGCTCAGGAGCAACACTGTGCAGGAAAGGGTTAAACGAACCTCGTTCCGTTTCATACGCCGTACTTCACATGTGCCCAATACACTGATTAATGACAATAGATAATGAGGTAAAATGCCTCACAACTATTGTTTCAAATTTATTCTGCACAAGTAAATTAGTGAAATACGGCGTATGAAACGGGCCTTAGAGGTTAGAGGTGAGGTTATGAATGGAATCTGTTTATTGTTTTAATGCATATGTGTTTTTTTAACTATAAATGCCAGACAGCCTGGCATCTAGCATTTTGAAAACTACGGTGGTTCAGAAGGGACATGGTGTTTACACTCAATTACGTTGCACATTTTTATTTACATTGCGACTAAGGTTGCGAGTTTCCACTTACGTCGCGCGTTACATTGCGACTTATACGTTGCGAGTTTCTATTTACGTTGCGAGTTGCCTGGCGAGATTCTATTTACGTTGCGCGAGTTACGTTGTCACCTACGTTGCGAGTTACGTTGCGACTTACGTTGCGAGTTACGTTGCCACTTACGTTGCCATTTACGTTGTCACCTACGTTGCAAGTTACGAGTTAGGTTGCGACTTTCTATTTCCGGTTTGTTCGCTTAAGATTTCCGGGTTGAATTTTAAATTTTGATATATTTAATATTTATTCGCTTAATTAAAGATGGCTGCAGCTGCAAAGGCTGTTTCGAGCACAATGTCAAAGATAGATCAGGCATGTATATATCAGTTTGAGAGTTATCACTTACGCTAAATTTTACTGACGGTAAATTACTAAATTTTACAGGTCTATAATTTTTTGAAGAAAAGGAACGTTAGTGAGGCTACATGCCAAAAGTTTAAAGCTGAGAAGGTATATTAATTGAAACTATAAAAAAGGTCGTATTAATTATTAAAACATTGCTTAGTGAGGAGTAATAATGTTGGTACAAAGCCCGCATATTTTGGTTAAGATTAAACCTCACATGTCAAGTCTGATTTGAGCATTCATGTGTCAAATTTCAATCGCCGGGGACTCACAGGTAAACATTGCATGAATATTTAATAACAGGAAGTAACTTGCACCAATCAAGCCTCTTCATTCGCTTCAATAGCTTGATAAGTTACAGTGGCATTAAGTTATTAAATATTCATGTCATTTTTACATGTGGAGTCGCCAATTTGGCTTGATATGGTCTTTATGAACCCTTTATTCAAAATTCTCAGGCCTAAATAATAAAATAAAGGTTAAAATTATATGGAGCACAATATGTTATTTAACTGCCTAAAACCATAGACAATCCAGAAGACAGGGACTGGGAACGCTATTGTTTTCGCGTGCGCTCTCCGTGATATGGCCGGCATATTTTGCGGGCTCATGTAGTCCAAGATCAAAATGGCGGAGGCTATTCTTATTTATTCGTTCTTAAAGAACGAAGACGAAGAAACAAACATAAATTGGGATGCAATATTTGATGTTGAACAAGAAAACGAAAGCGAATACGAGTTTAGTAGTGAAGATGGCGAACCGATGAATGTTCAAGGCAAGATTTTTTTATGCTCATGTCACCTTGTGATTGTACACTTTGTAAATATGTGTTTTTACCACTGATCTGTGGTTTTTACACCTTACGAGCTTGATATATAATTTTATGTTTATATTATATCTGTAATGTTTGTATTCCTTGGAACATGTAGCTTAGTAAATGTTCACATATATCAGAAGCGCATCAACAAATGAGTAATTTATATCGCTTATACAAATAGTTTAGACGAAATTATAATGCTTTCAATATATATAAAATTTATTAAAATATATGTCACCTTTATTTGCAGGTGAAACATCAACTTCAACAGGGATAAGAAGTGTGAAGGAAACAAATCCTCGTGAGTTAACACTCATTGAGATTTAATTAGTTTACTGTGAATCACTGGATAAAACCATATAGCCAAGTGAAAAATAATGTCTTTGTGGATTGTCTGTTATGTAATATTATGGTCCATTGCTCTTACCAGTCACCACCCTTCTAAAAGTCTAATCATGAATACCATAGCATATCAAACTGATATGTGGTTTAAAACCATAGACAATCCAGACCAACATTGTTTTGGCAATGGGAGTGTCAGTTTTGAAACATACACAGTATATATGAAGAATAAGTATTGTGATATACGATAGACCTGACAGGCGCTTGTCGCACTGTTTTCAATATATGTAAAAAGAGATTAATATTTCCTACATTTTTCCCACACTGCATTGCATTTATTGTTTGACAATCCTGTGATGTAAGCACCTCTGAGGTCTATTAAACAATAATATAATACCCTGTACAAATTATTAGTTTTGTCTGTAAATAAAGTAATTGACCCTGTACACATCACTAATTATTTTGAAAATCTTGTAAAAAAGTAGATCAATTATATAAGAGATACATTATCTGAACATACAATATTTATGGCATGTATTATGCTATTGTCTGTCTTTCTCCTGATGGTTTGTGTTTATATATAGATTTGGGAATTTCTAAAAAAAAAGGTTCGCCTAGTAGCTACTCTCTTGCCGACTTATATAAAGATGGTGAAAAGATAATGGAGGAAACACTAACCAAAATCCAAACCGATCCATTTAACAAGATTAAAGGATCCCAACATGGACCGCAATTAATTTCCATCTCTGAGGCACTTTTAAAAAATCGAGTTTTGCTTGATGCGAAAATGTTTCGGCCAATTCTTGGTAAAATCTGGAATGCTGCCTCATCCGGTGATACGCGGAAACATCCTGCAAACCAGCGCGAGAAAATCTGGCATGAATTTCATACCCTTCGTTGTAGGAACGAATTTATCCGCGAATTACATTGCTTTCTGAATACAGCTTTACCTAAACAACCGTGTTCTACACTTTTCATACAAACTTTATTGGAAAAGTTGTTTGAAAAAATTGTACATTTAAGGGCGACCTCGACATCACACTCGGATAATGAAGATCTATCTGAGGAAAAAAGGATAACACCTGTAGAAGAAAATATTTTAAGATACGCTGCCGGTTTTGTGCCATTCTCGTTGAAGAGACAGTATATGAGGAGGCAGTCCAGCGACGCACAATTCGATGAGAAAATCGAATGTTTAAATGCTATTTCAGTCAGCAATGAAATAAGTAACCCGCAGACATTCCTGGAATACACGAAATCGTGGGTAGAAAAGCAAAACAGAGGAGGTTTGTTTCTGCTTAATAATGACGGGTATTTATTTTTTCGAGCAGTAGAACGTCACTGCAGAAAATATTTCCGGAAACAATGCATTAAAAGCATATCTGATTCATCAGATATCAAATCGCCAGTAATAAACGCGGTGGTTAATGACTAGGTCGCAATGGAGCATTGGGAGCATGCAACTGCAAAGCAGAACTCAGCAGTGTCACCTCTAGTTATGCAGATGTGCATAAAACTATGGGTGAATATAAGAGGACATGCGTTTGCGGCAAACTGGATAGAGGAGTTCAAACACCTGCAATCCAAACGAGCAGCAGGAAAGAAGGCCCTTCGCAAAGATCTGAAGAACATGAAAATATAAGTCCATGTTAATAAGCACCAGACTGCAGCATTACCAGGAAAGGTTACATACAAAATATTGTGAAATTCATTAATAATTAATGTTAACGTTTGAACCCAACCAAATTTCGTGAATTAGGTCACATGCACACCCTGTCTACCCCATACAAATTCGTTTGAATAATCGGAAAAATACAACCACTAGTATTTGTAACTGATTTGCATATCTATTCAAATCTTATTGATTACAAATTTAT